TGTAGGTTCCATTGGCTTTCATCCTCCAGACATTTTCCAGGTGAAGTACCTCTAAATTTAAACAGTGTGCCCAGTTATTAATTTGGAAAGTTTCCCTGAATTTCTAATACAGGCAGGAAATAGGAGCTGCTCTCTTCATTAGTACACACATTGCATGAAAAAGAATCTAATCTTTCGATGCTGGTCCTGGGTGGTTACTACCAGTACCTGCTGTTGAGCAGCTCAGTTACATAGATGTCATTTGATCCCTGTAATGTCTGTGCATTTTACATAGTTTGGGTGCAGAGGTTTTTCTGTATATGTGTTTGTGTTTCATAGTTTTTGTTTAACTACCAGACTTTGAACTGTCACTTCTTACTAACATCACTTTGCTTAACCCCTACAACCCCCTTTTCGTTATCCCTATAATTAATTGTTTCTAATCTGCTTAGGAAATCAGAAAAGTGAGCTAGTTAGATTCATTCCCAAAGGGTAAGTAAAAAGACCAAGTAGGACTGTCAGAGCTCAGTTTTAAAAACCTTGCCAACAACACCCTGAAGGCATTTCCATGAGTTGCCCTGAGTGTTGTGTCTTCTCAGTGAAGTGTGGCATTTTCAGTCTTGGTCAAGGATGATTAGCTTAAAATCGCTTTCATTTCTGCACACCTTAGCTCCTCTGTCAGTTTTTTATTTTGTGTGTGTAACATATGTACATAGCAATATATATCATCATTGTAATTTCACTGGCCACCAGCTTATTTTATTTGCCCAGAACAGGAGGCTATAAAAAGAATGAAAAATAAACATCAGGTGTTTCATTTTTGTTTGAAGCTTTCAATTAAAGTATAATTAAGGTATTAGGATAAAGTCTTATATTTATTCACATAAATTCACATTCACCATCTCTACTATTCTTCATTTCTTCATGTAAATCCGAGTTTCCAACTGGTATGTGTTTCTTTTTGGCTGAAGATAGTCCTGTAACATTTCTTGGAGTGTGGGTCTGCTGGTGGCAAATTGTTTGTTTTGTTTTGCCTTTATTCTTAAAATATAATTTTAATGTTTATAGAATTTTAAGCTAATAATTTTCTTTCACTATTTTCCATAAGTCATTCCATTGTTTTCTGGCTTAAAGGGTTTCTGATGGAGTCTGATGTCATTTTGTTTGTTATTCTAAATGTAATGTGTCTTTTTTCCGCACTAATTGCTTTTCACTTGTTTTAAGCAATTCGATGATGAGGTACCTCCATGTGCTTTTCTTTGTATATGTTTTGTTTGGTGTTTTTATTTGGGTATGTAGGTTCATAGTTTACAATAAATTTGGAAAAGTTTTGGCCACCATTTCTTCTCCTTCTCCATCTCTCTCTTTCACAATATTGGGGATTAAACCCAGAGTGTTCCATTGCTGAGCTACATCCCCAGTCCTGTTTTCTTATTTTTAATTTGAGACAGGGTCTCACTGAGTTGCACAGGCTGGGCTTGAACTTGTGATCCTTTTGCCTCAGCCTCTTGAATGGCTGTGATTACAGATGTGCACCACCACATCTGACTGGCTATCATTGCTTAAATCTTTTCCTGCCCTACCCAACAACCCATCCCCCCATCTTGCTGGGAGTACAGTGTCATCTGTGTTAGGCAGCTTGATATCCTTCTGGCTTATGAGACTTTATTCCTTTCATTCTTTTACATCTGCTTTGTTTCTGTTCTTAATTTTGGATAAAATATGTTTCTATGAGTTAACTTCTGACTTTTTTCACATTTAATTAAATTTTCATTTCTGATATTCTTAAAAGTTTAAAGCTCCATTTCATTCTTTTGAAATTTCCTTTTCTCTTATTGTGTCAGTATTCCTTTAATATTGAGCATAATTATATGAGCAATATGTATGTTTTTATCTGTGTCATTTTTTAGTTGGTTACTATTTTCTGATCCCCCTACTCAGATTATGGATCATGTTTTCCTGCCTCTTGTCATGTTTAGGAATTTTTGTTTAGATGTTTTATGTTGTGAATGTTACATTTTGGAATTTCGGAATTTTGTTATATTCCTTTAAAGAATGTGATGCTTTGTTTTAGCAAAACAGTTAAATTTATTTGCAGACCTGTCTAATCACCTTAAGGCCTGTTTTTAAGCTCTCATAGGGGCAGGTTTAGTGTATCCTTCACTGCAAAAATAATAGCTCAACTCCAATATAAGATCTGATTCTGGGGGTCTCTATTAAATACCTTGGATAAGTCACTGAAAATGTTCCTTTCTGGCTAATTGGGGCTTGAACATATTCATACTCGATTGTGCACTTTACACTTTACTGGGTATTTTTCACGTTGTAAGTGCAGTCATAAGTTGATTGTATAGCTCACCTTGCTGCTTTCTGTTCTGGGGATCATAGTTCTGCACTGCCTAATATCCGGTATCTGAAAGTTTTTGTTTTATATATTCTGACTGGTTTCTTAGAAAAGGTTAAATCTGATCCTTGCTTGTTGCATGCAGAAATCCCAGGGATTTCATTAAAATTGGTTCATTGAAAATTATTTTTAGTAATTAAACACAGTTCTAAATAGTATGTCTGTGTGTGTTACAAGACTAGACCAAACATAATTTACACAAATTTTGGAGTGAAATATAACAGTGTTTTCATCTCCCCCATTGATTTTTAAATCTTTCCTACAGACTGAATCTGTTCCTGTTCTAAGCAAAAAAAGAAAGCAGTTCTTCAGTGTGTTCCCATAATGACAGAGGCTCAGGCTCAGGAGCTCCCAGGAGGACAGATAGGTTTCCATCAGTCCTTGTCACTGCTAATGCTTGCAGTGCTCAGCTGCTGATCTCTCTTTTGCCTTGTACTTATCCTTTATATTAGGTCTAGATTTTCCTCTTGGGAAGGAATTTATGAATGTGCTTTACAGTTTCTGACTCCATATGGAAGTCTGTTTAATAGAAACTGTACACGTGAACCAGTAAGAAGTTGATGTGTGTGGATTGAAAGAACCCTGTTGAAACAGTTTAGCGTGGTGAGACAATCTGGGAAATGTGAAGCTCAGAGAAAGGAGTTGGTTTACATAAGCATGACTTTGTAAGGATTGTCTCCCCTCGCCTCGAGTTGAATAAACTAGTAATTTGAAGTTCATTGTTGGTGAGTTTTAAGGCACACAGGGCTTTTGAGTAAACATAGTCTTGGCTTTTGATAGTTTAGCTAAGAAGCAGCGAAGAGAAAAGGATGCCATTTTTATCTGTTTTTGTTGTTTGGTTAACACTCATTTACTTCAGATCTATTGTAAATATTCTTAGTTTTCTTTTCTGTTTTTAATTACTCCAATTTCACTTAGCCTCCTAAATGACTTACAATTGCTACATAAGCTCATGGGGACTTGGTACATAAACATCATGATAGTTTTTATTCTCCATCATTAAAATGTCATTTGTACACATGTTGATTTTTAAGGACCCCACCCTCCAGTTTTTCCTTCTTTTTCTTTTTAATTTTAAATACAGCTTGAGGAGCATTGGTTGGATCCACTGCTGCTTAGAAAATTTTAATGTATTTATCAAAAAATGTAACTTCAAGCTGGGCATGGTGGTTCATGCCTGTAATGCCAGTGGCTGCTAATGGCTGAGGCAGGAGGATCACAAGTTCAAAGCCAGCCTTAGCAAATGAGGTGCTAACCAACTCAGTGAGACCCTATTCCTAAATAAAAAATACAAAATAGGCTTGTGGATTTGGTTCAGTGGTTGAGTGCCCCTGAGTTCAATCCCTGGTACTCCCCACCCCGCCAAAACTTTACTGAAAGAGAAATGTAATATATGTAATATAGAGGGGGCTTTTTTTTTTCCCTTGCCTATTCAGTTGGTTTAAGTTTTAAAATGATAGCATTGAATGTTGGCAAGGATATGGCTGTATGGATATTTTGTTGACCTTCTAGGAAAATGTACACATTTATATGACCCATCTGAAGACAAATTTGGCAATATACATTAAATACTTCTATACTTTTGACCCCATAGTATTATTATATTGGTTTTTGTCCTTGATACCAATCCAATAATGAGGACACGGTCTCAGAAAAAGGAACAAGGTTTATTGCTTTGTTAGGAAAGGAGAAGCCAGGGGACTCCTGTCCCAGAGGCTGTGATTCTGTCCATCAAGTGGAACAAGGTACTTTTTAAAGAGGTGGTTCAAAGGCTATACATTCCATGTGTTCTCTGTTGGAGTTGTGATTCAGTTGTTAATTTGGAAGATAGTCATTTCTGAGATCTTCTGGTGCCATCCCCAAAGTCTTCATAAATTACTTCATTTCTTTGGTGGGTGTGTACTCAGGGACAGATAACTCTGCCTAGGAGGTAGAAGAAAGGTGATTATGTTTTCCCTGATATTAGGGTGGGGAAGAGATTAGGGAAGAGTAGGGAGAGAGGAAGAGAAAGAAACATCCATTTAAAAAATATGTCTCAGTGACTGAACAGCAAAAGCTATATTCAGAGCGTAAAGTGGATCACTGTTACAGTATTGCTTCTAAGGGTTTCTTTCTTAGAATTGTTTGAAATTAAAACAAAACATACATGTAGAAAGATATTTATAATTAAAGTATTATTCTTAATGGTAAGATATTAGGAACACCCCAAATGTCTAACATTGTGTGTTTCAGTATGGCATTTTCTATTTACAAAGTACTTTACAACCACTAAAATGGTTCTATGAAAAGTATTTTGTCACAAAGGAAAAATTGACAGGTTTGAAGTCACCAGTATTTCTAAATGATACATAGTCTTTTCAATTTATTTAAAAATGCATAAAGAGTAGTCTGAAATATTTTCCAAACTGGGAGTGGGAGGGTGTTCTAGATATGGGAAGGCACACATGATATTTGCTGCTGCACTCTGGACTTGCCAGGCCTTTCCAGACCCTGACAGACACCTCCATTTCCAAAGGAGCAGGCAAACCATTCATCTCTAAGGCTGATGGCTATATTATGTGTAAGTGAAGAAAGTGCTCTCTTTTTTAAAACAATGACTTCTGTGCTTACTGTTAAGATAAAAATTTTGATGATGAAGATTCCGTGGATGGTAATAGACCTTCTTCTGCCAGTTCTACATCATCCAAAGCTCCTCCAAGCTCACGGAGAAACGTTGGAATGGGAACCACCCGCCGGCTTGGGTCATCCACTCTTGGATCCAAGTCTTCAGGTAAGACCAAATCCCACGTGGTGTTATGGGGCCAGCTGTGCATGGTCCTTGCCTGCAGTGTCCCTCAGAAGTGAACTCTAGGCTCTGAGAATAGCACATTATGGCTTTCTGTCTTCAATTGAATTAACACTGTGCTATTGATGCTGATAAACTGGTAGGATCTAAGTTTAATGTGCTGTGTGGATCTTTGCCACAATCTGGTGAGGCAGAGCCTATAGGAGGACAAAGTGAATATAGAGGTGAGCATACCTGAGGCATTATTAGATCATCTGGATCTAGTCTTGCCTAAAACTGACATGAGACTTTTTCGCCAATTTCTTTTTATCAAGACTGAGAATATCCAGAAGTGAGATTGGACCTTCTGTCTTTAAAATATACTCTGTTCTCTATAAGTAGCATTATTGCTTGCAATACCAGCATAGATATGGAATTAAATAAATGATAGATTAGGTCTTTAAAGCTCTAAAAGTGTATTTACAATGTCTTCTTCCATAAATCCCTTCTCTCTCCTCCCCTCTACACTGTCTGATCGGTTGTTATTCTCAACTGCCATTTTGCTGTCACATTTTAGATTTACATCCAAATTTCCTTTTTACCTCTAAAAATTGCAAAGCCACTGCTTTTAGAACTCTGCTATTTTTTTTTTTTTTCCATTGAGGTCTGGGAATTGAATCCATGGACCTCTGCCACTGAGCAAGATTCCAGAGCTTCTTATTTTATTTTGAGACAGGATCTTGCTAAGCTTACTAAGCCGGCCAGGCCCTTGTGAACCTCCTACCTTGACCTCCCAAGTCACTGAGTTACACCGCTCACACCATGCTCAACCTTGGCATCGGACTTTTGAGCCGTGGTGGTGCAAGGGACGAATCCCACCAGTCCCAAACTGCCAAAGCTGACTGGACTAGGTGAAAGCTTTAGGAAGCATTAGCCTTAGGATGCTGCCTCTGGATGGCCTTTCCTGGACTGGCTCCATTCTGTGGGTGTGTTGACTAGGTTAGCTTGGCGCCACCCTGCTCCCACTCCCGCCAGAGCTGTCCTGCCAGCAGAAAGTGAAATTCAAAGTAGGGACTAAAGGAAGCATTGCTTTGTTTCTTATGTTGTTATTCCCAGTTCCTTTTAATTTGGGAAGTGTATTTTTTAAAATTAATTTTTGGTTATTGAGCTTAAATTCACTTACTATAAAATTAAATTCTCTTACCATTAAATTTTAAAGGTAACATTTTTAATGTTTCATCTACCTTGTAGCAGGTATTAGAACTTTATTCCTTCTAATAGCTGAACCATCTTTCTAATCTTTTTTCTTGGTCTGTTCTTGGGTAATATCAGTTAAATAAAGAAAGCTTAGAAAACTTCTGCATGATCAGAATCCAGTTTTCCTTCCCTCCTCTTACCTATACCCCTTCTAGAAGTTTTTCTGGGTAAATTACACAGAGACAGCAGGACTGCATTCCCCACAGCCCCACTCTCACCCTTTCTTCATTTTGTTTAATCCCACAGTTGTGACTTTCCTGTTTAGCTCTGGTTTGTCAGATTCTTTGGGTTCAGAGATCAGCACTGGTCTTTGAGTCTTCTTCCCGGCTTGGGTACACTGCACTGTGCCTGATGCAGGCGAGGCGCTCAGGATCTGTCTGTTCAGTGGGGTCCCAATCCTTGTGTTAGAATAGAAATGAGCACACACAGTGCCACATCATGAGGTGTGGCTGCTATCCATTTCTAGTGAATTTGTCAAGGCAGTGTGAGTACTCTTCAGTAAGAGTGAGGATACTAGTTTACTGCCTGGAATTATCTATAAAGTCCTTTTCTGCCTAGGAAGTGTCAGGACCCCAAACGCCAGATGCATATTTGATAAGAAGCTCTTAGAAAAGCAGTCAGACTTTCCAGTGTAAATCATTAGTAAGGGTTTCAAAGACCTTAGACACCAGTTTCAAAACCATTATTATGAAAAAGCAGACTGATAAAAGTATAACCTAATTTTCATGTGTGAAGTTCACATTAGCAGAGAGAGATAACTTTTTCCTGACGGTAACAATTAACTTTTAAGTACACAAAGCATCTTAGAACAGCTTATAAGGGTGAGGCTTTATAACATATGCTAAAATTAATTGGCGTGATTATCACAAGTTTATGGGAATGGAAATATTTTGAGATTAATATAAAGTTGGAATGAAACTGCAATTCTTTAGATGTTGTTTGAATAGTCCACAAATTTATCATACTGGACTAATAATAATAATAATAATTTAATAATAATAATTAATAATAATTATTATTCCCTGAAAATTTGAATTTTCTATTATATCTGTTTATAAGGAATCCTTATTAATGCAATATATATTATCTAAATACTTTAAACTGCAACTTTCCCTGCTTAGTCTAAGTGCACTTAAATGAATGTACATAGTATTATAAAATTACTATATTTTTCTAAATTCTCTCATCATTCTGAGTCTTCAAAAATGTAGTTTTAGTTATGTATATTTCATCTTTCTCCAGTGTATATTTTACACATTGTTTGTTGTACATTATTTCTGTTTTTAAAATTACTCTTTTTTTTTTTTTTTTTTAACAGCTGCAAAGGAAGGTGCCGGTGCTGTTGATGAAGAGGATTTTATTAAAGCATTTGATGATGTACCTGTAGTGCAGGTGAGTAAAGATACTTGGTAGGATTAAAAACAGGGTAGAAATGTTCTTCACATCTCACCTTTAAAGTATGCCTGTATTAGTCAGCTTTATGTTACTACAACAAATTCCTGTGGCAACTTTCTCTTTATACAAAGAGAAAAGGTTTATTTAGCTCACTATCTTAGAGGTTCAAAGTCCAAAGAGTGTAGTGTAGTGTAGTAAAGGCTCAGAGAGGGCCAAAAACCATGACTGCATTACTTTATGGTGGATGGCCAGAGACAGTGAGAGCAGGCAAGTGATTACATGTTGACCCAGGAACAGAGAGAGGATTGGGTGGAGCCAGACCCAGGCTTCTATCATAGTTACCTCTTATAATTGCCTTCAGAGGGTCTCCACTCAGAGAAGCAAGGCCCTCCCCTAGGCCCCACCTCCCAAAGTTCCAGGACCTCCCAGTGGCACACCTCTGGGGACCAGACCTTTAAGACATGGACCTATTAGCAATACTAATCCAGACCATAGCACTGCCAGATGCTGAATTCTTTACTGGGTTTGTTCGTTTTAGCTCTGGGATCTGAGGTGCAGATTAGAAAATGTTGGAGCCTTTTAAATGACTGAAATGTAGCGCAAGTCAAGGCCCAAAATGATCTTTCATTAAAAATAAGAAAGAAGTTGGTTCTTCTAGTGTTTTGTTTGTTGGCGAGGTTAAAAAATAAATAAATAAACAAGCATGTTTATTTGGGGATCTGTTTTAGAAAAAATATAAACTTGAGGAATTTAGTATCTGAAAAGCTATTGAATGGTTAAATAAAAGCCTAATTTATACTGTCTTTGATGCTTCACTTAACTACCTAACAGATGTATTAAAGTATTTGTAAAATTTGGGATACAGTCAAACATTTTTTAAACTTCTTTGTGCTTCAGTATCTACCATCATTGACTGGAGGACTGATAATGCTTTCTCAGTCTACTTTAAGTGTGCTCTGGATTCCTGTAGCAGTTACTGCCTAACAGCTTTCCCTGCCACCTGATAATCCACCTGTGCTTACAGCAGGTATCGAGCTCAGGTTCATCCTGCAGTACTTGACCCTCTCAGCATTTTTGGTTGATGGTACCCTACCTGTCTTATAGTAAGACTGGGGATAAATGAGGAAGTAGATATGAAAGTGTTTAAAATTACAGGTGTAATGTGATGTTTAAAGCAATAACATGAGTAATAAGTGACTCATGTGTCACTGTTTCTCTTGTAGGTTTCTTTCTCTTTTGTACATGAGATCTTCTGTTACATTTAGAGTAAGGGAGTATTTCATCAAGGTTATTGACACATGGCAGCAGATCTAGTCAGTACACATTCTCAGTTGGGAAAAAAAAACTCATTCGGACAATCTTGCATAGATACTGTCTCATTGGTACTTAATATAAATGAATTAATTTATTTTTACTCTACTTGCTACATGCCTGTGACTTCACATAATTAAGAAATAATCTCTCTTCTGTAAATTATCTTATATTAATTGTGAATTAATTTTACTTGCAGATTTATTCCAGCCGCGATCTTGAAGAATCCATAAACAAAATTAGGGAAATATTATCTGATGACAAACATGATTGGGAGCAGAGAGTAAATGCTGTAAGCCATTGACTTCATGTGGTTACCTTTTCTTTAGATTCCTTTCAATATCTTAAAAATTTGATATGAGTTTGGAGAATAGCTTAGGTGAATTTTTAAATAGTAGGTATTTTAAATATAGATGCCATATTTTCACTTGAACTTTTTAATAGAGTTCCTCACTTAGGCTTCTATTTTTAAAACACACCAGCTTACACCATCATGCATTTGCTGTTCTCTTACCACAGACCTGCCTATGGAATGTCTGCAGACTGCCTCCACCTCTGCCTTAGTCAACATTTAATTCTCTGCTTGTTGGCCAGTAAACTGGCTTTTTAGTGACACTTTCAGTATATGGCCCTCAGTATTCTTTTCTTTCTTCCTATCACATGCTAGAAAGTTATACCTCCTCTGTTTTAAAAGGTGGATTCATGAAAAGTATGTGGCTCAACATTTAAGTGAGGGCATGCCGTCTCTGCACAAAACTGTTTTTACACTGCATGGTTGGCAAGGCAAGAGGTGGTAAAATTGCTATTGTATTCTGTTTCACATTCAGACCAACCAGTTAATGAAGATGCATTGGAGGACAATATAAAAATACTGTAGGAATGCTTCTCTCGTTTTCTTTTACCTCCCCTGCTCCCACCCCTGTACTGGGAATGGATCCCAGGGCCTTGCATGTACTAGGCAACTGCTCTACCACTAAGATGTACCCCCAGCCCCCATGCTTCTCTTTGATTCATTAAATAAATGACAGTTGGAGTGGGATGTAGGAGATAGTAAATTTAGGAGGGGCTTTTTATAAGCCAAAATTAATGTTAGTTATCATTAGTATCTTAGAATCTATAAATATACTAAGATATTTCCCAAAATACAGTTTGTAGATGGTCACAAAATGTGACCATCTAGATAGATAGATAGATAGATAGATATAATGCTATATATAATGCTAGCAACTCAGGAGCCTGAGGCAAGAAGATTATTGCAAGTTTGAGGCCAGCCTGGGCAACTGAGTGAGACCCTGTCTCAAAATTTTAAACAGTAAATAAAAAGGATTGGAAATGTAGCTCAGTGGTAAAGCACCCTGGGTTCAATTCCCAATACCAAAAAAGAAAGCCCACTTTGTAGAAATTAAAGATATTAATTAGAATATATTTGTTTCATACTGCATTTAAAAAATATTTGATCTTGTGATATGTAGATTTGTTCAATGTATGAGGCAATATTTAACTTGTTGAATTCTCTTGTAAAAGTTATTTCTGTATCAGTTGAACTTTAATGAAGGCTTCTGTTTTGTGTATTCTGTGTTAAATATGTCTTACACAGATTTTGTATGTTCCTAACTTTTTTCTGTCCCTTAGCTAAAAAAGATTAGATCTTTACTTTTGGCTGGTGCTGCTGAGTATGATAACTTCTTTCAACATCTGCGTCTTTTGGACGGAGCCTTTAAACTCTCTGCTAAGGATCTGCGGTCTCAGGTAGTGCGAGAGGCTTGTATCACGTTGGGGTAAGGATCGTAATGCTCCCTGTTCTCACACGCCATAAAATAGGCTCATCATAGAGCTTCAGAAATGGTTCCTTATCCATGTCATCTGGGTCACTTTAACATAACCTCTGACTTATCTCCAAGACCCTTACCATTTAACACTTCTGTCTAAGCTTTGCAGTATTTTCTGCCCAATGATGTAAAGAGTGACTGATTTTAAACTTTACTCAGTGACCTATCTCTGAAGCCTCTATCTTAAACTTGAAGCCGTTATTTATATCAATAATATAATATTAATGTAGAAAAAATGAGATTTTACAGAATTATGTTTCTCAGATGTCTCATTGATTGATTTATTTATTTTGCTGACAGGATAGAGTGTAATTATCAGAAAGTTTGTTTGTAAAAGAGTATTAAAACTACAAAGTTAAAGTTAAGGCAGGTGCTGCAGTAACATCTTATCCTATGCCAAACTGTGTTAAGAAACTGTCAGATTATCAACACCATAGCCAAGAGTTGTTTGAATAGTTATTTATAGTTGTTTAAATTTGCGGGAGGCAGGCATATATTGAAGCATGAATTTTAGGTTAAATATAAAAGGGGCAAGGGAGATTTTCATATTTGCTTTATTGGCATATGATTAATTTCTTTTTTGCTATTTTAAGACTTGGTTGAAAATGATTAAGAAAAACTCTTGGGTTAAAGGCTATTTGCCAAGTTCTCTACATGTACATTTAGAATTATTTTTTAACGTATTGTACTTTTATTGTTGTCCTTTATCCATAGTAACTTTAAATGAAGGCCTTTAAGTATTAAGAAGTTTATGTACTTCGCTGTTAATAAGAAGTATAACTACAATACGGTGTTCATTTCTTGCTATAGGCATCTGTCATCGGTTCTAGGAAATAAATTTGACCATGGAGCTGAAGCCATTATGCCAACTATATTTAATTTAATTCCAAACAGTGCCAAAATTATGGCCACTTCTGGTGTTGTAGCTGTTAGATTAATCATTCGGGTAAGTATATCGTAAGGCTAGATGTAAAATATGCAACCAGTAAATATTGATAATTTTAAGAAATAATAGAGACATTTCTCATTGGAGTGATTATATATATTTTTTGTACTTACTTTTTAATTTGTTCTAATTAGTTATACCTGACAATAGAATGCATTTTGACATATCATATATAAATGAAATATAACTTCTCATTCTTTTGATTGTACATGATGTAGAATCACACCGGTCATGTAATCATATATGCACATAGGGTAATAATGTCCAGTTCATTCTACTACCCTTTCTAACCCCATGCTCCCTCCCCTCCCTTCTCCCCCCTCTGCCTAATCCAAAGTACACTATTTTTCCCTAGTGTCCCCTTCCCCCTTATTGTGAATTAGCATCCACATATCAGAGTAAACATTTGGCCTTTGTTTTTTGGGGATTGGCTTATTTGGCTTAGCACAATACTCTCGAGCTCCATCCATATTTCATTCATTTTTAAGACTGATTAATATTTCATGTGTGTGTGTGTGTGTTTGTGTGTATGCCACATTTTCTTTATCCATTTATTCGTTGAAGGGCTTCTAGGTTGTTTCCATAGTTTGAAATTGTGAATTGAGCTGCTATAAACATTGATGTGGCTGTATCACTGTAGTATGCTTATTTTACTTCCTTTAGGTGTAAACTGAGGAGTGGGATAGCTGTATCAAATGGAGGTTCCATTCCAGGTTTTCTGAGGAATTTCTATACTGCTTTCCATAAGAGTTGCACCAGTTTGCAGGCCCAGTAGCAACATAGGATTGTACATTTTCCCCCCACATCTTTGCCAACATTTTTTGTTGCTTGTATTCTTGATAATTGCCATTCTGACTGGAGTGAGAGGAAATCTTACAGTAGTTTTGATTTGCATTTCTCTAATTGCTAGATATTACCTACTTCCCATTTTTAAGTTTCAGTTTCTCCCAAGAGGCAACTCTTGAAACCTTAGGGCTTCATGATGCTGAATAACCCTATTCAGAATGTTCTTGACTACTGTGGGTTACTTATCATTAGTTTTAGTTCTTACTATTCTTGTTTGTGCTGCCTACTTCAAATAGTAAACCCAAAATCATTATTGTACATTTTCTTGAAACCATGTCAGAGTAAGCAGGGTGTGATGGTGCACACCTGTAATCCCAGCTACTTGGTAGGCTGAGACAGGAGGATTGCAAGTTGGAGGCTAGCCTTAGTAAATCTGCAAGATCCCATCTTCAATAAAATTTGAAAAGGGCTAGGAATTCGAAGTGTGGCTCAGTGGTAGAGTGCTTGCCTAACATGTGAGATGCCCTGGTTCAATCCCCAGTGGGGGTGGAGGGGAGAGTCTGAAACAATGTTTAAGAATATATTGACATGAAGAATCCCTTTTTTTTTTTTTCTTGCTACTGGGGATTGAACCCAGGGGCGCCCAGCCACTGAGCCACTTCCCTAGTCTTTTTTGTATTTCATTTTGAGACAGGGTCTCACTGAGTTGCTTAGGGCCTCACTCAATTGCTGAGGCTGGCTTTAAACTTGCAATCCTCTTGCCTTAGCCTGAGCTGTAAAGACTCCTTTTAAACCTACTCAGATCTCTGCTGTTTAGATTACTTAGACCTCATGCCAATGATTGTTTTGATTTTAGTCTGATTTATATATTATTACATTGTTAGCTCTTGGCTCTGTCAATTTTGTGATGGCCTTTGACATGCCAGTGAAATTTTAATTTTCTTTTTAAATTTGATGACATGTTAATCTGAATATATTTGTGCTATAAATAGGTTGGGAAGGACAGATTTCTCTTAATTGTGTTCTGTTCTGTTTTTGTATTTACAAATTTATCTCAGTTTTTTTAACCTGATTTTCATTTTTCTCCACAGCACACACACATCCCTAGACTAATACCTGTTATAACAAGCAACTGTACCTCTAAGTCTGTTGCAGTTAGAAGGTAAATTTTTAGTGTTTTTTGTTAAATTTAAATTATTTAAAAACCAAAACCAACTCTCAAATCTCCTTCCGTGGTTAAATCTTATATTTGAAACGTTTAATAGCATTTAAGATCATTGCAGCAACTGCTTTGATTGAAGGATCAAGATAGGAACATATTGGAAAGTGAGTTTGGACAGCCTCTAATTTGTGTGTGTGTGTCTGAGTGTGTTGGGGGAGGCAGTAGTAGAGAGGGGCAGGGAGAGGACCCCTGTACACCTTTTTCTGAGATAGTTCCTCTGTGTCTTTGATCTCCCCCCGTCCATTCCCTGAGTAAAGGCAGTATAAATATCAGTATAATATCCCAATTATTTCAAGTACTACCTAGGACCCCAACAGGAAATCTTGGAGGGAACTTAGTTTTTCAGGGTATTTTCTCCTTTGTTTTTTCCCAAGGCAATCTGTAAAATTAATGGGAAGACCAGTCCCCCAGCTCTGTAACATGTGTTTACCTTTTGTAAATGGGCACATTCTGTATTAATACATTATTTAGGGCAGTATGAAAACAAGTAATGACGCTGGACCCTTTTGCTAATATTGCCATAAAGCTTAGCCTTCTCATTGGAGGGAAAGTCTGTGTCCTGTCCTCGTCTTCCTGTGGACACCATCAGTGCTTCTTCACATTCATATGCTTTGGTGTTTAGTCCCGATTCTTCTTTATGTTCTACTTTTTCTAATCGTAAATATTAGAAGGACCTTACTATGGAAAGTAATATTGGGTAATCCCAGTAACTCAGAAGGCTAGGGCAGGAGATTGTGAGTTGAAGGCCAGGCTGAGAAACCTAGGGAGACCTTTCTCAAAATTAAAAAAGGAGGGTGGGGTGCAGAGGATGTAAGTCAGTGTACCCCCAGGTTCAGTCCCTGGTACCAAAAAAGAAAAAGAAAAAAAGGTATTATTGGGCCATTTAAGGAAAAACACTGTTTGCTTTTCACTGACACACATGTAACTAAGTTCTGTAATTCTTAACACCTTTCAGGCGCTGTTTTGAATTTTTAGATTTGCTTCTACAAGAATGGCAGACACATTCACTGGAAAGGTGAGCATCTGCCTGCTTTGCAAATGTTCTTCCCTTTGGATTGAATCTTGAAATTGAATGCCATATAAAGTGGTCCAAGCCACCTTCTCTAAGGAATGAAGGAATTGAAGGATTCACTTGCATTACTATGGTTGTTACCACAGATGTGTGTAACACATATTTGGAGAACCTTTTGGGAAATGTCGTTGATTGAAATATTCACATGCCCAGAGATGGGGGCAAATGAGCACTAGTGATGACTAGAACTACCAAGCCACCACAATGCTTTGCTGAGGCTGCTGCGCAGCAACAAACGTGTCAGTTCCAGGGAGATAGAGATTTAATGCTGTCTCTAGGCAGGGTGTACCTTTTAGGTACTAAAAGAAATATCACTAATTTGAAAGTTTTCTATTTGACAGCAGTTCTCTTTACTCAGGTTGATATACAATGGTGTTATATCACCATAATTTTAAAAAGCAAGATTGTCACATAATTCTTGAAGTATGTCTCTATTGATTTTGCGATTCCTTCATTCCTGTCAAGTTTGGGTGCCTCTCATTGGGTGTCTTATATTTGGAGATAGCAAATGAGATTGTGCCCTGTGTTTTTAATGTTGTATCATATGGTTTCAGAAGAACTTGCAGCATAGTAAATATTTGATTAACAGTGGAATTTTAAGTAATACGAGTCCCATTCCATATTGATTCACCTGGTCAGAGGTGAAACAAAGTCAAACTTTCCAGAGGTGAAATTTCATCTGAAAACCCTTGTAATGCAGAGGATAGTCATACAGTTAAAAATATTCCCTTGCTCTTTAATCCCATGAGCATTGTATCCTCTTTAGTGGGTGATGGTTTTATATAATTCAGAGATGGAAAGTGAAATGAGGGATTCACTGTGGGGCAGGAGGGCAGGATAAAATGTGTGTGTTCATTTTCCTCTTAGCACTTAGAACCTGACTTAGCAGGTGACTGCTAAATATTTTTCAAAAGAATGAGGCAAGGACTTTGAAGTGCTGATCAAATTAGCCACTAGTCTTTGTTGTGCGATATTGTTGAGACTCTTCACACCAGTCATTTCCCTTGTCTTAAAACTTGGTTAAATATTTAGTAATATGTTGTTGATTTCTTTACAACTAGAGTAAAAAACAACTAAAGAGATTTTTAAAAATTATTCTTGGGCAGGGGTTGTGGCTCAGCGGTAGAACACTCGCCTCGCATTTGGGAGACCCTGGGTTCGATCCTCAGCACCACATAAAAATAAATAAGTGAAATAAAGGTATTGTGTCCAACTACAACTAAAAATATATATATATTAAAAGAGAGAATTTTTTAAAAAATTATTATTGTTAAACTAGGCAAAGTGGTGCATGCCTATAATCCCAGCTACTCAGAAGGCTGAAGAAAAAGGATCTCAAGTTTGAACCTAGCCTCGGCAACTTACCGAGACTCATCTCTTAGAAAAGTAAAAAAGCCAGGCACAGTGGTACTTATCTGTAATTCCAGCAACTTGGGAGTTGGAGGCAGGAGGCCAGCCTGGGCTATTTAATGAGACCCTTTCTCAAAAACATAAAAATAAATAAATAAATAAATAAATAAATAAATAAATAATATTAAGGTTGTAGCTCTGTGGTATAGTACCCCTGGGTTCATTCCCAGTACTAGAAAACAAAGACAACAATAGATAACCTAACCATATTAAATAGTAATGGAACCTGAAAAGAGAACATTGTTTCATTATAGAAAAGTGGTATAGATAGCCTCCTTATTTCACTGCTAGGATTGTTATGATCCATCTCATAATTTGTTTTGAAACTAGCTGTGACCATGGAAGGGCAGGATTTTGTTGTTTGAATTCATAAAAGATTGAGCTAAGTGAAAAAAGCCAGCTGTGTTCTAAAAACTCACAGAAGAAAGCGGGGTAATTCCAGTCCCCAGGGGAGGCTGGGGTGGAGTTGGGGATGGGGTATTGGGCCATAATTAAAAATTAAGACCCTGGAAGAGTGTCTGATCTTCTGGGCAGCAGGTTAGTTGACCTTGGCACAGTGACACTGTGTTCCTATTTTGAAGTTGTTTCACACACCTGTCTTCATCTACATAAAGTCATGTGTTTATGATTGTTATTACTTTCTTTTCTAAATATCTAGACACATATCAGTATTAGCTGAAACAATAAAGAAGGGAATCCATGATGCTGATTCTGAAGCAAGAATAGAAGCCAGGAAGTAAGTTTTATCTACTTTTACATTTCACGTATGTTGTATGCATTTCCTTGCTGAATAAACCCATGAATATACTTGAATGTACTTCCTTAGTCATAATGTTTAAATATGCTCCCGAAAAGGCCATTTCAGAATATTTATCTTGGTTTTTTTTATTTAGTAGTTTGGCTGAGTAATTTTTTAGTATAAACCGGACTGAGAGGTAGGCAACAGAATTTGCTCATTTCAGTTAAAAGTATGTCATGAGCCAACATGCTTTATTGATTTATGAAAAATCACAATCACAGGCCTTTTTCATTGTGATCGCATCTTTGTTGGAGGTGGTTGTGACATTAGGACCGAGTATGTTCCAGTCATTTGGCCATAGCCCCCTGAGTCTTGAGCCTCCCTGGAAGCGGTTTTGCCTTGTGACTGTAAATACCAGAAGTTTGCTATTCAGACTTAATTCACTTAGGGCTGGGGCTGTGGTTCAGCAGCAGAGGGATTGTCTGGCATGTTAAGGCTCTGGGATTCATCCCCAGCACTCAGATAGGGGTTGGGGCTGGGAGGGAGAGACACTCTTGGGCTGTGCACAGGTGATTACTGCTGGTTTTGCACCTGTGATTATTTTTCCATACTTCCATAGTTGACCATCTGTTCTAATTGACACAGGTTGTGTCTCATCTCACTTGCCTGGAACATTATAGTTTTCCTTAGCTACAAGAATACTTTTTGCTCCAGTTTCTTACTACATTTTGACTGCCCTCACAGTTAAATTATGTTTCCTTATTTCTGAGTTTATTATAATTCTGAAGTGAATGATTCCTGCTAAAACAAGTGACATAATTTGTTTAATGATCTATCTGATAATGCTATATATCTTATCCTCATATTCTCCCACTCCCAGTTTTTACATAGTCCTTTAATCATAATACAGATTTTAAGTAAAGTACCCTTTAACATTTTTCTTTTGTTTTTGTTACTTAAGACAGTTGAAAATATCTCAAATCAAGGAGTGTTAAATTATATTTATAAATGCTCCCATTAAGGAGTCTGTTCTGTGTTCTGCATATGGTTGTAATTTAGCTCTGTCTTCCCCAAGGCTCCCAGTCTTGGAAGTTAGATCCTTTAATTCCCATCTTATAAATGAGACTGAGGTTCAAAGAGCTTAAGTAACTTACCCAGTGCTGAAAGGCTCCTAAGCTGGGAGGCCAGGGTTCCTGCAAGGCCTTCTTGGCTTGTCCCCTTTTCCTTATACCCTGCATTCCTATTAGCAGGCAGGTTGAGTCCTCAAGAATATCTTGTAGAAGGAAGACCTACCTGTTAGGATTCACAAACCAGACCAGGTATTTGTGTGCTTTCCCTAGATGTTACTGGGGCTTCCATGGTCATTTCAGCAGAGAAGCAGAGCACTTATACCATACTCTGGAGTCCTCCTACCAGAAAGCCCTGCAGTCCCATTTGAAGAACTCGGACAGCATAGTGTCTCTGCCCCAGTCTGATCGTTCATCTTCCAGCTCTCAGGAGAGTCTCAAGTAAGGAACTTAGCTTTGCTTACATTTAAAAGTTTGCTCATGGAAACATAAATTCACGTGTATGCCTGTTAAAATTCCCTCTGACTTCAGGTGAATTCTGGTTCTAGGTTAGATGTCATGGAGATAGGTAAGAAACAGGAAGCCTTGGCTTCTATCATAAGTGATTTTCAGTTAAATTTATATGGCATTCTAGAATACAGTTTTAGAATAAGGTATATGAATTATAGAGTAGTGTGAACCACTCAGAGAGTCTTCCAAGAACTTGAAAGTGTTAACTTGGAGACAAGTTTGGGAAGACTGGTTTTTTAAAACATGACACTTACTATATCATCATCTTTGTTCTTTATTTCTAATTTCCATCTCAATTACAGTTTTGCTATGTTTGAAAGATATTCCAAAATATAGTGCTAAAGATTTTCAGTTTAAGAAATGCAGTTTATAAAATTATGGTCTCAATTGCCTAAATAATTCTGAAAACTCTGATATAATTCTTTATTATCATTATTTCCTGTTATTGTTTATATTTGTGTGACTGCAGATAAGGTCCACCCTTGACAATAAATGTATTTGCTTTTCTTTTTAGTCGGCCGCTCTCTGCCAAAAGAAGCCCAACTGGCAGCACCACATCTAGAGGTAAGAGGAACAGTGTCCACAGGAGGCCACAGGAGGTCAATTCCCAGCCACTGGGGGGTGCTCATATCCTAGAGACAGTGCTTCAGTGCAGAAGGTTGTGGCCTGCTCTTGGGTCTGAGTCAAGTGCCACTCTGTCCTCTGCCCTGACTATCCTCAGTAGAGATCCACTCTCATTGTGAGGATGGCTTAACAGGCAGAAATTAGGCTGTGACCATTTCTTCTTGCTTCCCTCCAGTATTTCTATGCTGCCACAAATAGTGCTGCTCTTCTGTCAGCTCATGTGATAAGAGAGTGAGAGCTACTGGTGACAAGATGATCCTCACCTCTTAGCAAATTGCAGGACACCAAAGTGGAAGGAAGACGAGCCCCCTGTGTGGCAGCAGTGGAATAGCTGCTAGAGGTCGGAGAGGAGGATATTTCCTGCAAGGGGAGAGCCTCTGTAGGTCCTGTGCCTTCATGCCACAACATGAGGAGGCTGGCCAGATGGGACCAGTTTTTCATTGTATCATTTCTTCTCATAGTAACCAGAAATATGGGTCATTTCTTTGGATTTACAGTTACTAAAAAGCAGGTATAACATATAGGTGACAATAGAGATCACTTTTGGTTTTCTTTGGCATTGTCTGAACCCTTATCTTCGGGGCAAGGAAACTCCAGGTCAGTTCCACAGACTCCAGCATTTATTACAAATTGGTATTCGTTTTCAAGAAAAGCAAAGGAGCATCAGGTTTTTAAGAAATATATATTTGAAATTCTCTGTCATCCTTACTAACATTTTCTCCTTCACTACCAAAGCTTCTACAGTTAGCACCAAGTCTGTATCAACAACTGGATCCCTCCAGCGATCTCGAAGTGACATCGATGTGAACGCAGCTGCCAGTGCCAAATCTAAAGTCTCCTCGTCTTCAGGCACGACACCCTTCAGTTCTGCAGCGGCTTTGCCTCCAGGGTCCTATGCATCTTTAGGTAACCAGATCCCCCTACCCACTCTTCACCTCCTGTTCTGGTGTCCAAAATGATCCTCACCTCTTAGCAAATTGCAAGACACCATAATGGAAGGAAGACTCCCCTGTTGCAGGATTGATATTTAAGAGACAGTAACTATACCTGGTACTGGTCCCCAGCCACCCTTTGTCGAGTGTTTCCTTTCTCTGGAGCATCATCCCCTTTAGTACTGAAGGACATAGTCCTTGCAGGCTATGCTGGCCCTGAGTGCACACAGGCTTCCCTCAGTTCAGTCCCTCATTCTCCACGGCCAGCCCAACCAGTGCTCAGTCACGCTCATATTGCCAAAGCTGACTTTTCCCCCTCCTGGCACTGTTGGAGGCAAAGGGCTCAGTGAGGGACTTACCAGACACTGTTTCTATAGCTAGGCATCCCTCAGAGTGGGGGAGTAACAGGCAGACTCAAAGAATGTGACATCCTTGTTAACCAGCATAGCCACGTCTGCATCAATAAGTATTGTCCTTTCTCACGTCACCTGGGAGGAGCACACCTGTACTTCAATGATCACCTGAAAAGGTTTTAAAAAATTCTTTAAAATTATTTTAACACATTTTCAATACCTGACTTAGTGGTGGGTCAGTTACTCTTTTTTTTTCAGCAAACCCTTAACACTCACTTGGTTTAAGACTGATGGTTTATTGTATTTTTGTAAAAGCCAAATCATTCCACCCAAAATCTGAGCACATCCACTTTGAATATTAAGGAAATTAATAAAATTTAAACTTGAAATACTGAAATGGAGTTACATATGTAGCCCACTAATGAATTCCAAAGTCAGTTCTAAAACTAAAGTTCTGAAACATGAGTGAGAAGCACAGTGTGAGGACACACACCTAGAGAAGGTCCCCGGGACTGCTGTTTGTTAGCCCTGAGACCTTGCACAAGCCCATGAATCTTCAAGTCTATCTCCCTAACCATTAATTGCTCTTAATACTGGTCACCTGACTCAAATATAAAATAGGGATCTATAAAAATTGTATGAAGTTTCTTTGCAAACTGTCATCCTATAAGATAGGTGAAAGTGGGATTGTGACAGGAATGTCATTAAGTTGAAAGATATATATCCTAGAGCACATGTCAGTCAGTCTTGTTTTTTTCCTACGGAAGCACCTGATACACATGTTCCCAGTAAGAACTCTTTTTTACCGCTTTAACTATTGCACCATTATGTGGAAATGTTACAATGTTCTGATGATGTGTCATCGTTGAGGAAGGGTGAAGTCACAGCTCTTTCCTCCTATGGTGAATTAGTTACAATTTTAGTTCAGTCTTTCAGGTATTGACCTCTTAATATTTAAATTCATTTGATCTATTTATAATTAGCATTTGTTTCATTGCTGGGAAAACATAAGTAAAACCAGCCTTTAGCATCCTTCATAGTCTTGTTTTTTTGTGCCTATTTGGGTGTTTGGATGTGGACTGGGCAGGCTTCCCCCAATGCTAGTGAAAAGCCCCCAGATCTTTGACAGAGAACTGACCTTCAGAACCACTGGGGACAAGCCCTGCACTCAGTGCTGACTGCAGACAAGACTGCAGGACTCAGACTCTCTTGGTTTCCTGAGAACCCTCCCTCTGCTTTCCTTATTTATATCCTGAAACAAAACCAAAACACACGGAAAACTGAGTAAAACACAGTCCTACGGAGAATTTGTTACAGTTACTGCATAGCTGACCCAGACGTCTCTGCACAAGTGTAGCACTAAAGCTGATGATCCTTTTCCGAACTTCTAGAGTCCAGACCCCTGAGGGAAGACTTGGAGTACGTAGGCCTGGATGCAGGTACTGAGCTCTCAGCTGCTGCTGCTGGGCGTGTAGTTGGGCTAGGCGTTGCTAGAGCCGGCTTCTCGGCTTCTTGTTGCTTCCTACTGCCTCCGCCCTGTGGGTGGCTCTTTAGTCCTTTTAGTCTGTTCTGCTCCCGCCACCCCTTCTGCTGGTACTTTCTTCAAGGAAGAGGAACTCTTAAGACAATGAGGATTGACTCAAACAAAAAAAGACAACCACTCTTCCAACTGTGGCACGACCCTCGGTTGCCCCTTTGTGTGCTGTTTTCCAAAGGCAAAGCCACTACACCATGCTCAACTAGTTTCTGTCATAGGTGCACTTACTTGCTTTAGAAACTCTGCTTTGCTGTTGAACTTGTTTCCCTTTTGATTTTGTTTTAACTTGTACTTTTGCTTTTTTTAGTAGCTAATAACATTCTGCTTTTTTAATTTCTTGAATGTTACTAACTGTTCCCTGTTATCCCTTCCCTTGTTTTTTAATTTGCATAAAGATGGTACTACCACTAAAGCGGAGGGTAAGCGGTTTGTTTCTGTGATTGAGGTGTGTCTCACTTTCTCTGGCCCTCTGTTCTCACCGAGTGTTGCCCGGTGCCCACTTGTCCTCACCGAGGTCCCTGCATGAGCTGTTGCACGCTGTCTCCCCCTACCCCCTTCTTCATTCTGTTTCCCCTGGGATTTGCCCTCTTTCTACCTAGTTCTCCTCCTCCTTTCTTGTTCAGTCTTTGTTCATGTGAATTTGGCACTGAAGTTTGCTTTATGTGGTTTTTTAACGCTGAGTCCGCACTCTGGGGAGGAGCAGTGACGTCCTGTGGTGTGCTGCTGTCCTTGTGGGCTGCCTGTCTCAGGGTTTATTATTCCTAATGTACCACCTTAGCTTTTTTTCCTTTTCTTTCCTTTTGTGCTTCTATGTGGGCCTCTCAGGATTTGCCTTTCCTTTTTTGAATATAAATTTTCATGTTAATTATTTGGTTAAAGGCTGGTAAAAAAAAAATATATATATATATATACCAGATGGTATAAAGAAATTTTACAAAATACTCTTCCCCTCCTAAAGATATTGCTGAATTACATGATGCCATTTTTGGTGTGTCACTGACTCATGGCCCATTCATTCATTTACTGTCATCCATCTGCTCGTGGACCATGAACTAATTGCCTTCCATGCTGTTTTCTATGGTACACATCAAGGATGCGGCATGGTGAAAGCAGTGGGCATGTCAAAAGCCACTGGATTTTCCTTTTAGTCACTGCCAAGAAGCTCTTTCTGATTTTTTGCATTGCCTGTTGAACTTTAGATATAGCCATTCCAGCCTGTACCGATCTGATTAGCAGTGTTAGACAGGAGCATCATTTTCCAGAATTTCCGGATGGAAAGCATATAGTACTTCAAAAAACTGAAATTTAGAGGTGCCTTCTCTGCTTATGATTGTGACTCTGCCAGATATGGTGGCACATGTCTATAGTCCCAGCTACTTCAGAGGCTGAAGCAGGAGGATCGTTTGAGCCCAAGAGTTCAAGATCAATCTGAGCAATATAGTGAGACACCAGCTCAATAAATAAATAAAGTAGAAGAGTGGCTCAGACCTGCCAGCCTCTAGGATAATGACAACAACTGGAACTAGTTAGTTCATTTTCATGCATTATTAAGATGCTGTAAAGAGCTAGCATACAAAGTGAACTGAGTTTTAGTTTGTGTGAAATTCTAGTTTTTAAATCTATAGTTCCGCTAGGATTGTAGCTCAGTGATAAGAGTGCTCATCTAGCATGTGTGAGGCCCTAGGTTCGATCCTCAGCACCACATAAAAAAAAATAAAGTTATTGTGTCCAACTATAACTAAAAAATAAATATTAAAAAAAGGAATAAAAATAAATCTATAGTTCCTAAGGGGAAAAAGTAGGAGGTTTTTTTTTTTTTTTAAAGCTGAACACAGTCTCAAGATAATGTATCTCAAATATAAAGATTATCTGGTGCTTGCAAAAAAAGAAACAGTCTTGGATGTTTGCTTCTCAGGATGCTGATTAAGTTTGGAAGGATTGAGAGAATCTGAACTTCCAGCAAGCCTCACTGTTGACTCTTGGTGTTGGACAAGTTTGAGAAAGGAAACATTTTCTTTGGGCATTGAAACCTCTGACCAAATGAGAACCTCATTTGTCATAGCAAAAGGCTGAGGCTGGGTGTGGTTGTAAAGCTGAGTGGTTATTTTCTTCATTGGTTCAGCTGATATGAGTAACTTTTTTATTTCTCCTTCCCATGGAAACAATCATGCATTAAGGGGGGGGGGATCCAAAATCCAAGAAACAATCCTGAGTGCTTCCTCATTCTACCTAGCTGGAAATTAGAGGAGGAGTAGAATAATATAAATGGAAAGGAAAGGAAAGACATTATATATATATTTTTTCCCAGAATATCTGGATGTTTGATGTCTTTGCACAGAATTGTAATCAGCCTGTTATCCAACCTAGCCCTTGGAATTTTTAAAATATTTTTTTCTTCTCATCAGTTTAACATTCCTAAGTAAGGTCAGAATTGCCCTCTAAATAATTGTTGTGCAAAAGACCCACACTCTCTCTCTGGTCCTGCCTCTAGGAGGAAAAATAATGGAATGACCTAAGGGCTCTTAATTTTTAAGAGAGTGCAGAATCAGACACTAGAGAGCCTTATAGAAGGAGTGCAGGGAGTGTTCAACACCTGGAGCACCGCAGGCAGTCTAAGTCCTGCATGATGAGAGTGGGACAGGACAGGTGTCCCTGGCCAACCTGTTACCTTGATGCTTGCAGGGGTATTACTGTTCCTTTTGTGTAAACTTAGCTGATGATGCTTAGAAAAGCCATCCACCAGTAGTTAGGAAAAAAACACAGTGATAGTCACCTGGGGCCTTATGAGCATTTTCAGAATCCTTCTGGGATTTTTTCTTTTTGGTGCTGGAATTGAACCTTGCACATGCTAATGCAAGTGCTCCAACACTTTTTTTTTTTTTTTAAAGAGAGAGTGAGAGAGGATTTTTTAATATTTATTTTTTAGTTATTGGCGGATACAACATCTTTGCTTGTATGTGGTGCTGAGAATCGAACCCGGGCCGCACGTATGCCAGGCAAGCGCGCTACCGCTTGAGCCACATCCCCAGCCCAGTGCTCCAACACTTTGCAGCACCTCCAGCCCTGGGCCCATTTTATTTTTTACCTCAGAGGCAAGAAGAGATGATCTTTCAGCAGTGTGAGTCAGAGGATTTTGAATCAGTAGTAGTTGGATGCTCTAAATTAATAGTGTGGGCAAAAAAAGAAAGTAAAAAATAAATAAAAGTTCAGGCAATACATTTGTATTTTGGCAACTTCAATATAGTGACTGAGGGGGAAAAAAACACGTGTGCCTATATATTTAATATTGAGGCAGGATCTTGCTAAGTTGCTCAAGCTAGCCTTGAATTAACAAACCTCCTGCCTCAGCCTCCCACAAATCTGTAATTATAGATGTGTGCCATCACACCCAGCTAGAAACAAAAATATTTTTAGGAATTATTTATTATACACAACAAGGAACCTTCTAATAGTTAAAATTTATTAAGAAGAATTTTTATTTCTTTACAAAAAGTAAATTTTTGGACAGTTTATTTCTAGGTTATCTTTCACTATGTTCATTAGTTTTGAAAACTGGGATGAAGAAGGCATTTGTATTGTCTATTATGTTGCTCATGAGAAAATGTATGGATAGATATGGCAAAAAAATGCAAAGTCAAAGCTTAACTTAATAATTGAGGTTAAGTGAAAGTTAATTTATATAAAAATATATAACTCATCTGCTCTTCAGGAAACAAACCTTACATTTTAGTTCAGTTAAACCTTAACATTTGGTATTGCTGTCTGTTTATTCAAGAACTCTGAAGTTTAAGTAATTGGCCTTTATAGACAATGGAAAAAATGCATATTTCTAAATATAGAAGTAAAAGAGTGGTAAGATTGTTTTACATTTTTCTTCTTAAAGAATTAAAGAAAGGCTGCGGTGGTGGCTCAAGAGGAAGAGCACTCACTTAGCATGTGTGAGGTGCTGGGTTCGATCCTCAGCACCGCATAAAAACAAAGATATTGTGTCCATCCATAACTAAAAAACAAATTTTTTTTAAAGAAAGTATTAAAGTTTTCTTTGAGGGTAGTAGTTAGTACAGGTAGTAAAATGTATAATTGATGTGCTTGGATTGTGGCTCAGTGGTAAAGCACTTGCCTAGCACGGGTGGGGCCCGGGTTCGATCCTCGGCACCACATAAAAATAAAGGTATTGTGTTAAAAAAAAAAAAAAAAAAGGACGAAAATTTTTTAAAAAATGTATAATTGATCAAGTTTTCACATTTGGTTCTATTAAAATGCTATATTTGAGTTGAGGTTGGTTTAATTGTGTCTCTAGGCAATGAGGTATAAAACCAACATACGTATGCCAAGGTGTCCTAATGTAATTAGAATAAGAGATTTACTTAAGAAAACCTTTTAATTTTTATAAATCGTAAATTGGGAATTTGCTGAAAAAAATTTTTTTAAATATTTAAGTTGTTAGTTGGACACAATATGTTTATTTTATTTGTTTATTTTTATGTGGTGCTGAGGATCGAGTTCAGGGCCTCGATCTGTGCTAGGCGATTGCTGTACCACTGAGCCACAACCCCAGCCTTGAAATTTTTGAAACCTGACAAAAAGCCCACTGACATGAAGCCATCTAGTGGTTTTCCAGTTGCCTAAGGTTAACCTGACGATAATCTATGCCTACAAGTTAAACCTAGTACCCAGGTTTCAGTTCCCATTTTGGAATCCTTTCTAGAAGAATTGACAGTGGGATTGAATGGAATCCTTAGTATCAGTATTAAAAAGCTGCGAGATAGAAACACTTGTTTATTCCAGGGATGTTGAAGGCTTTGCTCTCCTGCAGTTCTTTTGTTTTTCTGGTCATTTGTTGCTTTTCTCTGGTCATGTTGGTTTGTTAGTGCATCTCTTGTTCTTCCCTCTAGAATTTTTCTTTGTTTTGTAGTTATTTATCTCTTATTTTTATTGCTCTTACTATGCTGTTATTTCTTCTTTCACATCTGTCTTCTTTCTTCTGTCTGTGTCACTTAATAGATCACATTATAGAGCTGAAGTATATTCTTACTGGTTTTTGCAGTTATTTAGTAGACTTTGTTCTTCCTAGAACCCCAGAGCATTGTAAATCATTTCTTAAAACATATTCAGGCCCTTATAGTAATATTGCCAGCCCAACAGAGTGGAAATCAAACAAAAAAAACCCACCTCTTTCTTTAAAGTACAGCACAGCAGAGGTCTTTTAAACTGCACAGCTGTATTTCCAAAACAATTAAGAAAGGTTCACATGCAAGAGGGCCACAAAGTGGTGTGACAAGCTTAAATTAATTTAAGGTTGCTCTGAGGACATACTTAGGATTGTGAATCACTGAGGCAGACAGGAGACAAGACCTTACCTCACCCAAGGTGACGTGAAGCCAGAATTGTCGAAGGATCATATAGCCATGAAAGGTGC